ACAAGTGAAGCCGATCCTTTGACCAAGCGTATGCTAAACAAATATGGTATCTCCCCTTCCGCCCTGGGTTGTCCGCGTTTCCGGTAGCATCCAATTATGCCTGCACTATTGCAATTTTTACCGTGTTTATTTAGACATAGTGTGGGGTGCTCCTTTGAGCGACATGACACTTTCAATCCCCAACTCTCGTTCTCACCCCCCTCACCCTGCTTATTATTATGCAGTCCTCTTCCCTAGTCTTATCCCAGTCTCCTTCTTGCTCCGTAAAATCCGTCTGCCCTAACCCTACTGGCAAGCTTTCTACCTCTTCGGGCTCGGTCAGCGCACTCGTCGTGCTCGGGAAGCTGCCCCATCACCGGCCCCGAAGGTCCAGTCGCACATGCAGCCAATCGAGTTGGACAACAACAAAACAAACAAGCAAACAGCCAATTAAATGCATAATCTGCCAAAAGTGCCCGAGACGATGGGTACAGATGATAGCCATCGTCCACCTCATTTAGCCAGGGCCCCTCCATGCGTGTGACGCGAGTACCTTCTATTCGAGAATATTTTTTACTTCCATAACATGGCAAGAAGAGATTGACAACAGTCCGTCTCCTGTAGCCTGTGACTTGTAAATCCGACGTCTGGTGGACCCGAACACACAAGCTATCAAACCCTTTGACTGAACCGACTTCGGATCAACTCCGTGACTCCACATCAAAGTCGTCCGGTGCTCGTCATCCCCTCCTGCTGCTACCTGCGTCACATACGAACACATCCAAGCCAGCACATTCCATGGCTTGCCAATCGGCCTCGGAGCAGCCGCCTCATGTCTGTGAGGCGGGTCACAAGAAGAGGATACAGTTGGTTGTCATGTTGTTTAAACAGTTTACAGTTCAAGTAGGCCTAGTGGCGCTCACAAAGTCTCATGAGTAGTATGTACACACGCCAGTAGGAGGCTTTATAGGAGCGGAAGTGGCCAAAGTTGGAGCCAGCTCGAATGCCGGTTTGTGCGTCCGAGGCTCTCGTGCTCAAGACGATCCGCCCGGCATCTGCTGGTCAGAGCATCAACAGCAAAGCGGTGGCTACGAGCACGAGGGAGCAGCAGAGCGTCCTCCTGGCCGCCGGCGAGCGTCGAACGACGCAGTCGGCCGAGGTCGGAAGCCGGCCTGTCTCGGTCGGCCGACCGGCGTCTCGAGCACCGGTTTCGGACGTCGGGGTCGGTTTCGGCCGGAACAGCCACGACCAGCAGGTCTCGGCCACGCTGCTCCTCAACTCGTCGTCCTGCGCGCGGCGCTGACAGGCGAGACCGACCGATCCGCTCTCGGAGCCTCCGTTCGAGCCTGCTTCGTGGAGGAGCGGGGTTGGGCTTGCAGTGGGACTTTAACCCGTTTGACGGTGGGCATGATGTTTGTGAGGTTGTTGTTGAGGTGCATGTTGATTGTGTGAAACAGTTGTACGATTCACTTATGTTTTTTTGGGGGGGGAGGCGCACATGGTGATTGAGGTGTTGGTTTAGTGTCTCAGCGAGTAATGCGTTGGTTGTTGGGTTTGGGGTGTGTTTAAGTTAGTGACGGAGAGGGAATAGATTTGGAAAAATAATTCGTAAGTGCGATGTGGATAGTTGATTCTTTATTTCTCGCATTCAATTATTGTTTCGAGACTACCAGTAAATCAGTAGTATGATATGTATTCATCCAATTTAGTTTAAGGTGGTAGAATTTTCCCACAATGATATGAATAGGGCTGGGTCTGTGAAATTCAATGCAAACGTCAGTCCTACTCATATCACTGTGGGAAAATTCTTCTACCAGTCCTTCATCACCTTAAACGAAATTTGGTGAATACATCTTATATTATTTAATTCTTGCCTTCAAATACTGACAGCTTCGGATACTCTTCAGTCGGGCCAACTTGATGCCATCAAAAGTATGGCCAGAAAAGCGTTTACTCCATCAAAACGCCTTCCTATTGTCTAGCCTGTCTTAAAAGTAT